TATAGAAATCTGAAGTGGTCAGAACGGCCCGTTTCGAAACCGGAACGGCCTGTTTTGGACTCCTTCGTCACGTGTAAAATTCACATGCAGAACAGCCTGTTCTGAAACCAGAACGGTCCGTTCTGAAAACAGAACGGCCCGTTCTGGCACGTCTAGAACGGTCCATTCTCAAACCAGAACGGCCCGTTCTAGAGTTGAATTTAACTCACAACAACTATATTTGGAACGGCCCGTTCTCAACTAGGATGTGCAGGCCTATTTAGTAGTCTGGGACGGCCCGTTCCAGTTTGGGAACGGCCCGTTCCAACTTTGGAACGCCCCGTTCCAGTCTACCAACAACGTTACACATATTGTATGATAGAGGACTTGTAAAGGCCATTTTAATGTCATTCTAGTGCTCAAGTATTTTCATATGTTTAGAACATATTTCTTATTTATTTGAGTTTATTTTTAGTAAAGATGTTGCAATTTGTTAATCCTTTTGCCTAAGAGTGAAGTTTAATAATATCTAAATACCATATTTCTTTATTATATTTAAATTAAAACATTTTTTAGTAGAAGATTGTCATATTAGTCATGTTAAACACGAACCACTCCATAAAGGTGATTTGAAGGTATAATGAAGTGGAGCCAAAATTTTAGATGAAATTGAAAATGATCAATATGGTGTTTAACACCCTGATTTTTGAAAAATAGATAAAATAAATAAACTATGTTTTTGAAAAATAATTAAGTAAAGAGTTTTAGTAAATGAGAAGTGATTTTGAAAATAGTAATAATATATGTTTTCTTGAAATAATCAAATGTGTTTTATAAAATTAAAAAGGTTTTGCTGAAAATATAATTATGTAATTATATTTATTTTGGGTCATATATTTGTTTTATTAAATAAAGAGGAAAAAACAGTATACATATCTCTCATACTTGACCATAAGGTGTGACATTATCACTTCCTCTTTTATCTCCCCAAGTGACGATCTCCAAGGTAATGATCGCGATCTTCACAATCCAAAGTTACTCCATGCACTCCTCAAAGTTCTTCTCTCAAGTTTCCATTACAAACACTTTTAGGATTTCAAAATCCTGGTGATATAACCTAAACCCTTCCTCCTCTTTCTTACTAATAAGATTTTGGGTTAGACTCAAGAGTCTAAACCCAAAGGTTTCCCTCAAATCCACAGCCTATTTTTGTTTTATTTAATAAAAATATTATCTATTCATATTATAAGTTTTACTAATAAATTATTAAACTCATAATACAAATATTATTAAAATAAATTATTTGATTTTTACTTTTGAAAAATAAGATGAAACACTTCTTGGACCTTCAAGACTTGTTTGATTATTAGGGTACAATAGAGTATAATGTATATGAGTAAGATAGGATAAAAGTAGGATATGGTAATAATAACAATGTAAACATCAACCTTATATGGTATTTGGTGCACATCATGATAACAAACCATACAACATTATTTTATTAAATGTTCTTTATTTAATATATATTAATAAGATATTATATAAATTATATTCAAATAATTAATAAAATTTGTATTTCATTAAAATAACAATTTTTTTAAAAAATAAGTTTCAGTTTAATTACTTAAAAAAATTCAAATTAAAAATATAATTGCAACTATACAATATGATTTATAATGT